AAACCAAAAAAAAAAAAAAATAATATATAGATAATTATGTATATACATATGAACATAATGAATAACCGAAACGCTAGAAATGAAGGAATATTAATTTGTTAACACTTATGCTGCTACCAAGGAAGCACCCTGACTCGTAAAGGGTGCAAAACCAATTTTTATCACATATAACGGCGACATTAAAATCAAACGGTGGTTTTAGAACTTTGGTTCTCACACCATAGCGAACGTACCTGTTGAATTCGTTAGTTGTATCAGAATAAGTATAAATATTAATATACGTCACATAAATAAGCAATAAAATAAAATGACCATTTATATTAAATAGTATGATGTCTCAAGTACTGTAAAGATATACTGTTCAAATACGTTTCATAGTTCGTCCATCGAAAAGATACACTGGCTATCTAAATGTCAATATAAAGTGTTCATATAATGTTCATATGCTGCATATACACTGTATTCAAACAAACCATCAACTGGGTTCAAAAGTTGTACATATACTGACCAGAAACTATATATAAACTGCAAATAAAGTGTCCAAAAAACTGTCTATAAAAACAAATCTATCTGACTTTAAAATTTACTTGTACTGTACATAACCTGCCCATAAACTGTTCATATAATGTTCATATGCTGCATATACTAAACAATTGTACAAGTTAAAGTGTTCATATAATGTTCATATGCTGCATGTACAAGTAAATTTTAAAGTCAATATAAAGTGTTCATATAATGTTCATATGCTGCATATACACTGTATTCAAACAAACCATCAACTGGGGGTTCAAAAGTTGTACATATACTGAACAGAAACTATATATAAACTGCAAATAAAGTGTCCAATAGACTGTCTATAAAAACAAATCTAACTGACTTTAAAATTTACTTGTACTGTACATAACCTGCCCATAAACTGTTCATATAATGTTCATATGCTGGATATACTAAACAGTTGTACAAGTTGTACATAACCTGCCCATAAAATGTTAATATAATGTTCAAAGTTGTACATATACTGAACAGAAACTATATATAAACTTCAAATAAAGCGGCCAATAAACTGTCTATAAAAACAAAGCTAACTGACTTTAAAATTTACGTATATTGTCTGCCCATAAAACCAATACTATTCGTATTATAATAATAATATAAATCAAATAATATTAGAAGAAATTATTGACTAAGCAATAAATTATATATACTGTACATATACTGTCCAAATACTATTCGTAAACAAAAAAATGTCCATAAACCAACTAATGAGCATAAAATGTATAACGACCAATAATGGTGAAGAAGTGATATCTATTGTCTTGTCAAATAGAAACATACACACACATGAGCATGGAACAAACGAATCATATACCGAAAGATAAAACTAATATAAGTTTTTTTGTTCTCAAATTTTTTATTTCGTACTCGTCTTTAAACTTGCGCACTGTCTTGAGCATACCCGTCATATACCACTTCACAAAATCGCTTGTCCGCTCAGATTTTTCCTAGAAATCAACGTCAAACGGACACGATTTTGTTCGCGGAATTCCTTTCCTCACACAACGGATTTTCTTGAGTTTTTCTATTGTCTTTGAAGTCCCTATATGCGTGGTTTGTGGGTTTGGTACGAGTACAACGTCATACCAAGAAGGTTCTACTTCGTTTGTCTTTCCAAGTTCTCCAGTTGCCATCTCGTGCACAACTTTTGTTGTGATCTCCTGAAAAAAAAAATGTTAAATATATGTGTTGTAATGAAAATGGTTGTTTTTTGTATTATTCGAATCAATATATATATAAAATTTGACCATTGGATTTTCCTGTGGTGGTTTGTTGTTCTCTTTTGATGGTTCTATGGGTGTGAGACCTAAATCAAAGGACGACTGAGAACTAATCAATGACTTTACAACACCTGCCACCATCTGGACATCAACTTTGGGGGTGCAAGATCCTAAAAAATTTAATTAAAAAAAATCATTAGAATAATATATAGACTAACTTGCGTTGATAGTTTAGTTATACTTAATATAGTGAACATAATTAACATGATTATTACCGGTTCATTGCCTTTTGATGCATTCCTCAATTTTTCCTCCGTACTTCTATCAACTTCCTCAACAAATTGCGTTGTGAGCGGAGAAAATACGTCATCTTGATC